CCCTCTGTGAAAGGAGTCGGGGGGCGGGGGGGGAAGAGCTAAAGCAGAACAACCAGTCCTCCTCTGCGAACACAGGTGCAGGCATGCGCACACACGCTCACACACACACACACACACACACACACACACACACACAGAGAGAGAGAGAGAGAGAGAGAGAGAGAGACAGACAGACACAGACACAGACACAGACACAGACACAGAGACACACGCAGAGGGAGGATATTCAAAGGAAGTTTTCAAAAGAAACATGACACCCCAACGTGGTCTCTCTAAACACTTGCTCCTTTCAAGTGTAGTACTCAGGTGTGACAGAATTACAGTACACCCAGAAATTCTAACAAAATTAGTGGGAAAATAGTCTGTAAGATGTTGGGACTAATTGAGTCCTGGCCTTCAGCTGCTCTTCCCTGTCTAGAGCCTTCTAATTTTGAAGTTACTAGAAGCTGTGCTTTACCTAGGGGATCAGAGGATGGAATTTTCACCTGTTTGCCATTGACTGCAGGGTATTTAAGCCTCCATGGTGCTATTAAAGAAGGGCTTTTGGTACCAGTGTTTGGAGGTCTGCGTGTCGGTCTGTCTCTGCGTGTGTTTCCTCAACCTCCAGCCCCTTGCCCGAAGCTTGCGAACAGGGTTCTTGCGCATACAGTGCAGACCAGGCTGCAGAGCGGGGCAGTAAAAAGTTAAGTATCTAAAGGATTGAAAGAGAAAATGCAAGGTAGCCTAAGGTATGTTGCATCACACCTAACACTGAAGAGAGACAAAACATATGACACAGAGAAAACAGCTAATCAATTTCGATTCATTGACCACCAAATAACAAGCTGCTATTTTATCTTACTAAGCAAGCGAGGTGCTAAGTTCCTTCAGCTTGTTAGACAGCTGCCATGAAGTAACATGGCCACTGGGTTTAGTGCAAATTTCAGGGCACCCACAGATTTGAAAGCTAGTGATGGGGGAGTGTCATATATCAATCTGTTGATTTCATTGGTTAAGCAATAAAGAAACTGCTTGGCCCTCATAGGTTAAAACATAGGTGGGTGGAGTAAACAGAACAGAATGTTGGGAGAAAGAAGCTGAGTCAGGGAGTCGCCATGATTCTCCCACTCCAGGCAGATGCAGGTTAAGATCATTCCTGGTAAGCCAGCTCGTGGGCTACAGCAGATTATTAGAAATGGGCTAGCCCAGGTGCGAGAGCTAGCCTAAAAGAGGCTAGATAGAAATGGGCCAAGCGGTGTTTAAAAGAATACAGTTTCCATGTAATTATTTCGGGTAAAGCTAGCCATATGGGTGGCCAGGTGCCGGGGACGCAGCCCCGCTGCCCTTATTTCAACAAGCTAGGAAGCACTTAGCAGTTATTAAAACAGCCCTTGAGAGAATATTTGTGGTTACCCCAGGGGAAGAAATGGGCAAAACGCAGACACACTAAAAAACCCTGTATTCGAGGCATGAACTTTTCTGTATGGCAAACAAATCGGGCTTCAGTGAGACTTGAGGAGTGAGGTGAACTAATATCTGACCTCAGCTTGCTTGGCTTCTGATCGTGGGGAATGTGACTCCCTGTGGCCATTGCTTTGCTCTTGAATTCTTTTCAACATCGAAGCTGTTACCATTTCATTTCTAAATTTGGTTATAAATTTAATAAAAGAATGAATATTGAATTCTTTCACTTACTAAATAGTATTATTTTTCATTCCAGAGAATCTTAAATAATGTGAATTATTTAACTGAAATTAATATTGTATCCAAAATTAAGAAATAAACAGCGGTGTTGGTTCACAGTAATCTCAGACCTTGGGAGGCAGAGCAGGTGGGTCTATGTGAGTTTGAGCCCAGAGTGCTCTATGTACCAGACCCAGGCTAGTCAGAGCCACATAATGAGACTCTGGCTCAAGACAGAAGGCTAAGAAATACAATAAAGCAGCCACTCTTTGGAAAGAGCATTTGAGTTGTGGAGTGGAAACACAGGGCAGAGGACAGAGTATAGGGACAGTGAATGATGCTGAAGGATTTCTGAAGACGTCACAGACAGCTCCAGCTGGAGAAGCTCCCATGTATGTATGGGACATGTGCATATATCAGTAGTTATGAGAGTGGGCACAAGGCTTGTGCAGGCTCCTGGCAGACAAAATCTCAGCATGGAGGGAAGAGGAGGACAGGACATCATACCCTAGAGGAGGAGATACTGACAATTGGTCACTTGCCAGTAGAAGATCACATATCCAAAAATATATTGGCAGTACAAACTGGACTTGATGGTGATGAGAGAGAGAGAGAGAGAGAGAGAGAGAGAGAGAGAGAGAGAGAGAGAGAGAGAGGAGAGTTGGGTGATTAGGGAGGAGTTGGGGAAGGAGAGAATAATCAAAACACATTGTGTAAAATTTCTCAAAGAACTAATAAAAAAAAAGCACATTTTTTCTTCTTTAAGGCCCCATAGTCTTGTGAATGTTGTTATCAGTGTGAGTGTTTCCTCATGAAGTTAGTCTTCATGAGAACAATCATTACATATTTTGTGACATACATATGAAGAGACACAGGAATGATGATTAAAAGATGGCCAATCATCTCTGTGCTTGGGTTTTGTTTTAGCCCATGAGAACAGAATGTGTATGGCTATCAAACATCAAACTTGCCAAATTTGAAAAGTGAGCCATTTTATGGCTCACTTTTCTAGTGCGTTTTCAACTGAGTGAATTATTTGAACTTCCTATCGTGGAAAGATCTGTGGCTCACAGAGATAATCAGGTTCTCAGGCCAGTGCCTACAGCTTTCCACAGCGAGGAAACGATCTCTCCAAAGTACTTTGGGATGATAGGGAAAGGAGAAATATGAAGATTTATATTTTCATTTCTTCTCTTTGGAGGGATTGTTCCATAGCTTTTCTGTTTAGCTTGGAAAGCTATTCTTTAATGTGATTTCTCTTCTAAATAAACAGAGCAGCCCCCCGAAGGCAAGCATACCACATCTCAGCACACGGTGATTTGATCTAGTAGTCCAGGGACATTGTCTTGGCAATGCCCGTCCAGTAAATCTCCCCATTAAAGACTTCAACATTAAATTCCTGATTCCATGAATAATCAAATTCCAGGGAGACTGAATCTTGAATGACAGAGATAGCTATGGAAATGCCCATTTTCACCATTTAAATAAAATGTTTAAATGATTGGCCTTCTCTTCCAAAATTTTAAGTATTTCACAGCACAGGAATGCATACTATGCAATATCCAAACTCCAATATCTTTCTAATAAGGGAAATATCTCAAAATTTGTTTTTTGTTTGCCAGAATTTCTCAGTCTGTACTCTATCCAGACATTCAGTTTATCCAATGTATGCATTTTAATTCAGATCCTGCCAATTTCTGTGGAATGTCTAGCAATTATGGATATCGTATGCACCAAGAATGACATTCCTAATATTGTGATTACTACTGTCTGAACTGTCTTAATAGTTCTGTTTTCATATTTAAAGTCTCTTCATACTCTACATAAGTACACATACACACACATACCCCACATTTTATGTACAAATTTATAGAGGAACTAAAATATTTTAAAATAGTCATATTTACATGTTTAGTCAAGTCAACTTACTCTGTGACATTCTCATTTCATAACATCTTAAATTATAATGCGAAGTCAAAGTTTCTATGACCCACATCCACAATCCAGACAGGGAAATGTACTAAGCAGAACACAAAACCTGTCAACATCTGGATAAACCTGAATAAAATGGGTTCTCCAGTGTGCAGTCTGGAGAATCACACACAGCAGAGTTTAGTTTAGTTTAGTTTAATTTAGTTTCTTTTAATTTTAGTTTTAATTGTATGTGTATGGGTGTTTTGTCTGCATGTATGTCTGTGAATGTGTGGCTGCAGTGCCTAGGAAGACCAGAAGAGAGCATCAGATCCTTTTGGCCTGGCTATGCAGAAGGTTACAGGACACTGGGGTGAGCAGCCGGACACTGGGGTGAGCAGCTGGGACACTGGGGTGAGCAGCCGGGACACTGGGGTGAGCAGCCGGGACACTGGGGTGAGCAGCCGGACACTGGGGTGAGCAACCGGGACATCTTTCCAGCACTTCAGTAAATACTTTAATTGAACGTCAGCAAAGAATTTTAAGCTCTTTCAGTTTACTTAGATTATGAAGTCTCTAAAAGTTACAGTTTCTCATTTTCTTCAAAGAGGACTGATCACAGAATGGACTATACATAGGGAAAAATGTGATAATAGTGTCGTGTATAGGGGCCCTCAGATACTCAATACTGAAAACAAAGAAACACTCTTAGCATACTTGTTAGGTGTCAAGAATTGATTCCATTTATTTTATATGTATAGCGTCTCATGTGCTCATATTGCCACAGTACTTCAACGATCATTTCCAATTCCAGGTAATACAGAAAAGCCTGCTTCTTTACTGTGGCAAGGGAGGCTTTTGAGTAACTCATTTAATTAACCTGAATTAATCTGCAATATCTATCAGACAATGTGATTTATTGCATTGTTCCAAGGCACGCATTCAGGGTTGGTTTGAGCTGCTCAGCCTCTCTAGCCTATATTCCAGCTTAATGAGAATTTAGATGAGTGGGGATGAGCTGGCTGAGCAGTTAATGGTGCATGCCCCCAAACCTGGTGACCTGAGTCAGACCTAACATCCACATGGTGGAAGGAGACACTTGAGGCCTGTGTTTTGTCCTCTAACCTCTGTATGCATGCACACACACACACACACACACACACACACACACACACACCACTGCTTCAGGTATTTATAGACTTTTGCTTTTCATAAAGAGGCATAAGTACTAATATCACCTGTAGCTATTTTAGAGTCAAATTACCAAAGAGGTTGTCACTTGAAATTCACCATCATTTCTCCAGATCGCAGCCGATAGACCCTTCAAGGCAAAGATTATAAAGAAACGCCAAAGAATGTTCTGAGGCTGAAAAATACATTTCCAATCACCATGTCTACCATCTGATGTTTGTGGCAAAGATAATTACCGACTAGAGTAGAGACAAAGGAGGAGCTGGGGTCAAAGGGACATCTGCCCCTTCCTCTCTCAGATCTGTGGGACTCCAAGTGAAACAGAGGGTCCTGGAAAGACAACAGAAAGACACTGTCAAGATATCAATTGTGATAAAGGTTTAATTGCTCAGATAAAATATAGCAAGGGTAGGTAACTAACAACCTACATGGTCTCATCACGACCTCAGGAAAAGCACAGTATTTAGTTACTAACTGAGTTTTATACATAAGCATGGGGGCTTGGCAGATCCTATTTCAGTGTTTTTAGAGAATATGAGAGACAAGAGAAATTAGCAGTTCTTATTAATCAATTATACTGAGATGCATCAGTTAAATATTTCAAAGAAGAAACACTGAAAAAAGTTACAGTGTGATAAAAGCAGAATTGAGATTTATATCCCTAGTATGCCTTATTAATGTTTAGAATAACTTGGGAAAGAATAATAATAATATTTATTATAATAATTTTCATCATGTTATTGTTAAATATTCAACACTGACGATTTAAAATGATTAGTTCACAATTACTTTAATGTGAACGAGTGTGTGTGATATCCTATTTACTATTTCATCCAAAACCTTTAGTATCTGTTTTCATGGCAATCGGTATTGAATAAAAACATTTCCACAAAAATACTATTACACTATTGGCCTCTATTTCATTCATGTAAACACAGAAAATTTCTCTGAATGTTTCTAGAGTTCAAAAATTCTCACTCACTATACATGCATATATGTTTACATATATCAATGTGTGTAAAATGTGTATACACACATATATACATTATATACACATACAGCAAGTCTACAATAAGTAGTTTGGGTACAACAAAGGCATTTAGGAAACTAACCATAATAACTACTGTGAAAATTTTGTATAAATAAAAATAATTAGCAACAGAACATTTTTGATACTGAGGGGTACTCAGCCAGCTCACGGCCGTGAACCCACAGTGCCCGACAGCTGACCCCTCAGAGCTGGGTCTGCTTCTCTTCATTGGAGCATGCTCCACCACCCCACTACCTCCCATGTCCTGTTCTGTACTTTACTTATTCTCTCGGCCTGATAGTCTAAGATGGCTATCCTAACGTTTCCGTTTCAAAACCCTTCCAGTAACCCTTCTGAGTTCCTTTGATCCCTGTGACCATCCAGTCTTGTCTTTGAATGTGAAGCCTTGAAGAAGAGCCCAGGTGTGTGACTCCATCACTGAGCTCAACAGTGACGACTTTTTGCTCAGCTGCTGTGCACAACTTAGAAGGGGGTCTGCATGGCAGGAAATCAGGAGAGGGTACTACAAATTTCTATGGATAGCAATTTTCAGGGGCATGAGAAAAAATGGCCAATTTAGAAGGAATTGCAGACCTGACAAACTAAGGTTGATGATGCTCAAAGTTTCACGCAAATCTGCAGAGCAAACCCGAGCATCCCTTGCCAGACAGAAACTGTGCAGATGGGATTTTTGCCTGCTCTTCCACATCATATCACTTGACGAAGTGTTTGAGAAACTGATGTGGGATTCCCCTCTGTGTGTGTGAACACGTTTTATTGCCACTGGTTATTAAAAATCTGCTTCAGCCAATAGTTTAACAGAATATAGTCAAGCCGAAATATATATATATATATATATATATATATATATATATATATAGAGAGAGAGAGAGAGAGAGAGAGAGAGAGAGAGAGGGAGGGAGGAGTCAGAGAGAAGCCGTGTAGCCACCACAGGAGACAAATGGTGGATGTTGGACAGAACCTTACCAGTAGGCCACAACCGCGTGGTGATACACAGATTAATAGAAATGGGTTAATTTAAGATATAAGAGCTCTAGCTAGCAATACGTTTAAATGCTTCATTAGTGTTTTAATTAATATAGTTTCTGTGTCGTTATTTCGGGTATGGTGGCCGAGAATAAATGAACAGTTCCCGAGAACAGGAAACCAAATAACAAAGAGCATATAAATTTAAAAGGTCATAGAAGACAATAAAAATAAGTAAATACTGAGATGTTTGCTAAAGCCGGATGTGTTTTATACCTTAAAAATTCTGTAGTACCTATTTTCTAATCTAAAGTTGCTAATGACAGAGAGTATTAGACTCTGTAACACAAATATTGAAAGTGCAAGTCTACGATGAGCAATGTTGATTTATTCTAGGAAGAATCTTTCAGTGAGTTTAAATTTTCAAGTGAGTGAAAGACACAGAAAGTGCAGAGAAATAGTCATCACGAGATTCCTGGAATTGTGGAACAGGAGTTACAGGTAGGAAATGAAATCAATATTTCCTTAAAAATTCACCAGTTTTCCCTTGTGGAAATCATCACTTAGACTCTTTGAAGCTAACACTGAATTGTGGATTTCAGCGTCTATCTGAGATAACAAATTTCTGATAGATTCTACCTTTCCTAAAGATAAATTGGGTCAAAAGAAATGAAATCCCACCAAGAAGCCCGCAACCCTGACATTTTGAAAATTATTTGGAAAAAAATAAAATAAAATAAAATAAAAAAAGAAAATTATTTGGTTAATGAACCATCATCCTACAATGTCAGCCCTGTGTGAGGACATCGGTGCATCATGTACCTCCATCAGAGTCTGTGACATCATCCCTATGTGTATACAACATGTACCTCCGTCAGAGTCTGTGACGTCATCCCTGTGTGTGTACAACATGTACCTCCGTCAGAGTCTGTGACGTAATCCCTGTGTGAGGACATCAGTGCATCACGTACCTCCATCAGAGTCTGTGACGTCATCCCTGTGTGTATACAATATGTACCTCCGTCAGAGTCTGTGACGTCATCCCTGTGTGTGTACAACATCTACCTCCGTCAGAGTCTGTGATGTCAGCCCTGTGTGAGGACATCAGTGCATCACGCACCTCCATCAGAGTCTGTGACGTCAGCCCTGTGTGTGTACAACATGCACCTCCGTCAGAGTCTGTGATGTCATCCCTGTGTGAGAACATTGGTGCATCATGTACCTGCATCAGAGTCTGAGAAAAAAAACATAAACTCACAACATCAAATGCCACACCAAGAACACATGAACATTAACTCTGAGTGTCAGACAACACTCACGGGAAACTTGACTAAAAGGTTTCCCCCTTCTGGAGACATTTGATCAGTTGCTAACCCTGAATCAAGAGTGTTTATTAAAAATACTAAAGAAATTAAAACTTTTTATTTGATTTCACCTTCCAAATAAAATCCTACATTCTGGATACCCTAAAAGTTGACACAATTTGTCATTTCAATGTTAAATATAAGTATGCTTGCAACTACAACTTCAGTTTTGCAGTCTACTAACAAAAGGGTCATTGTTGTTTGTTTGGTGGGACTTTTGCTTGTTTCTTTGTTTGCTGCTCAAAATGTGGGACATATTTTCACAGAATTATAATATGGGTGCTACCAATATCCCTTGCGTTAATTATAGTATGCCTTTAAAACAGTAATATATCTACTTTGAACTTTATTCCTGAGCTACTGAATCAGATAAAGTGGTAACAATACCTTCACTAGCTTTTTGGGGTCAGGGCTATTATAATGTGCTTATTAAACACTTAACAGCAAGCTAAGGACGGCGTTTATTAGGATGACCTGAGGTCTGGAGGAAGGATCTGATCACAGGCAACGCTGTCTGAAGTTATTATTTCAGTCCCTGATCAGTTAACATCTGAAGTGGCGTCATCGCAACCTTTCAGCTGCCTGTGACAGATGTATGGGTGGCTGTCAGACAGTTTGCCTAAGCCCGTTATCTACGATCTCGAGTTTTCTGACAGTTTAGAGCAGTTAAAAGCTAAAGCAGGCATATATCAGCAATAAAATTGTCATAAGCAAAGTCAATGATGCTTTAGGTCATGAAACAATTTCTGTGTGGAGTTAAGGCTAAAAAACCTGGAGAGTTTGCCTCTTTTATGGACACACTGAAAAGAATCCAATTTTAAACTCACCAGTCCGCTGCTAAAAAGTATAAAGTTTCTAATAAATAAACCAAAAGAAAGATAATTTAAGAAAGCTCATCCCATCAGCTCTACTATTAATAGAAAAGCCACAATTTTGTTCCAATTTGGTAGCTCTCTCAGACATTTCATTATGTCTTCTGAAATAACACAGTTGCAATCAATTTTCAGAGTGTGTCTCAATCTCTTCGATATAACCAAGTCAAAAATACTGTGACAGGCAAAAAAAAATAAAACTGTGGTCTCAGAATTCTTGTCTTAATTCCTGAGACTACAGAAGGCATTTTTCACATGGCATCAACAGCAGGATTTTGAGATGCGAAGACTACTCCAATGATCCGGGTGAAATCTAATATAATGACATAGACCCTTACCAGGGAGGTTTGATGATGAAAACAGAATTGCCAATGAAATCCATGATTGGAAAGGTCCACCAGTGCTTACTTTGAAGATGGAAGAATGGGGCAGCACCAAGGGACACTGGTGATCTCTAAAGGCTGCTACTGACAGTGAAGTCAAGTCCCCACTGGGCGGTCCTCCTTGATTTTCACCCAGCAAGATTCACTCTAGGTTTTTCACTTAGATATCAACAATATGGTGGTTTCTGCCATGAAACTCATTGACTATTTGTTACAGTAGCGTGGAAAAGTAGCCCAGCTCCCAAGAGGACAGTGGTGACTACCTGTCCATTTCTCCCCATATACTCTGTGCTCTAAGAATTAGTCTTAATACTTTTCTCTACACCATGAGCACTGCAAACTAAAAAATAAAAGGAATTCTTATCAAGAGCCATGTCACAGCCTGGTCTGTTCAACCTTTCAAACATCTCTGCTTCAATCGTACACTAATGTGTATTTTGCCAGAACTATTGCTTACCCATGCTTTTCCATTGCTCCTTTCACTTTTATGATGTCCGCAATCTAGCCTGATGGTCACTACCCCTTCAGTGGTCTGACCTGGAGGACCAGGAGCCTTCACCCACGTCACAGATGCATATCTCTGCTATTCTGTGCAGTGTTTTCATGCTCTATTGACCTAGCTCAGCATCTCCTCCCCAAACTCTTCTAACAAAATTATCGATAATGTGAAAAGTGTTCTTTGACCCACGCAGTG